CTCTTTTTAGATTATTATTTTATTTTCAGAATAACTACATATATAAATAACTATATTGTGAAATATATTGTTACCGTGAAATAAAATTAGTCATACAGTGAAACAGAATTTTAGTCATACCACCCACCCCTAACCCAGTCAAAAATTAAAATAAATAAATAAATAAACATACACAACACTGTTAGAGATGGTGAAGATGTTTTTGGGAGGAAAATCACTAGAAAACAAGAAGCGATTTTATGTCTCTACAGCAGTGGTGGGATTTCGGAAAAGTTCAAACAAAACAGTTGTCAACAATACAATAGGAATGTCACCAAAGACTTGATGAATTCATTGAACGCTTTAGAGTCTGAAGTGGAGGAAGTCCAGGGTCTGGCTGAGGCCACAAGAGACCAATGGTATTTTGTAGCTCTTGAGGTTAAAAAAAATACATTAAAAAAATTCTGTTTTAGCTAACTTGATAGGGGTTTCGGCTCAAGGGACTTTGAGTAGATCCCATTCAAAAAATACAGTGGAAATGGATGATCCATCACATTTCCTTTTTGGATTGGAGCATAAAAATGGTCAAAAAAAGATTTGTTCATAACTAGGGATGCACCGATATCACTTTTTCTTCAGCTTGATAATGTTAGATAACTTTGATGAACAGGTATGTAATGTATTACAATCAACCAAAAATTAGACAGCTCTTAGTATGACAGTATTTACACAACTATCAACCCTTAGCCTTAATGACAGCATATAGTCTCCTGGGCATGCTGTCACCCAGCTTTATGCAAACCTCAACTTAATTTCCCCCCCCAGACTCGGTCTGAATAATATTTGGTCCCAAATTTGTATCAGTTTTACTGGTAGTCCACTGTATGAAGAACTTTTGGGTATAATTTGTCACAGTTTACTTTATTTTGCTATCCTCACTTACATAAATGAACTAGTAAAAAAATATCAAAAATCGTATCTGGTCTCTGAATCATTTTTGGTTTGACTGTATATCCTTTGGTTATTTTCACACTTAATTATGCCCATTAAAATGCATTTTACAAGTTTTTGTTACTTTCACTGTTTATTTATTTTTTTGCTCTATGGTACATCATCTTTAATTTAATAGCATTAGAGCTGCTCCATTGCAGCGGCTCAGTACTGTAATCACGCGCTTTGCTGTAATAATGCAGGGAACCTTTATCTGCTTTGTTTATCAGCTCGCGCACATCAGCTATACAGTCAATACTGAATGTTTAACATTATATTCATTGCATACATATACTTCGTAGACATCCTTAATCTATAATAACTCCATTCTGCTGTCTGTTGTTCTGTTGTCTGTGTTTCTTTGTCTGAATATGGCACTAATCACATGCTGTGTGGTATCGGCATTTGGTATCGGGACATTTTAACGAGTACGAGTACAGGAGCTCAGTATCAGTCCAAGACCGATACCAGTATCGGTATCGGTGCATCCCTATTCATAACTTGAAGTCTGACGCCAGGCACGTGCTGTCTGAACATGCTGCTATTTGTAAACATCCTGTAAGTATTTACAGTGAATCAATCAATCTTTCTGCACTCTGTGTGAAACAGTTTTTCACTGTTTTATGGACTGTTGACCTTTCTTGCCACTGTTATCCATGTTGGAGGATCTTTTTAAATAGTTTGGTGTAGTTTTTTTCCAAACAATGTTTATTTTAAGTTACAGGTATTCCCATAAAAAGATGAAGCAGTGTCAGCTTTTCAAATTAATTTTGGGAAAAGCAAAGATGGCTGTTCATTTAAGCTGATGAAATAGGATGGAGGGATTTACAGATGATGATGCTGTCTTTGTCAAAATGTTAAAAAGCCTGTTTAAAAATAGATTTTAATTACTACAATTTGTTGAATGATTTGGAAAAATTCTCCAGTATATGGTGCTACAAGAATGTGCCTTGTTCTGTTGTAGAGGATGAACAAATTTTTAATACGGTGTTGATTTAATAAAATTAATTGTTATATTGTTGTTTTTTAATTGATTTGTTTTAATATAGTTTTGCAAAGCATTGTAAAACCTTGTTAGCATGACTTGCTTGTTATTTTCAAATCCGTTTTCATGGAAAATGAGCAATTGAGGCATCACATATGCCGTTTTGTGGTTCAATGCTTGTGATTATAGTATCGGAGTATCAGAACTTTGTTCTGGGAGAGTGATTTGCGGGGATACAAAGCAGGTAGTGAAAGATCTTTTTCCTAGTCTTATAATTGAGAGAGCATTGCATTCTTTTACATTAAAAGGAAAAGGGAAGTCGTGGCCTAATGGTTAGAGAGTCGAACTCGTAACCCAAAGGTTGGGATTGTAGGTGGGGGGAGTGAATGTACAGCGTGGACTCTCTTCCACCTTCAATACAACGACTGAGGTGCCCTTGAGCAAGGCACCGAACCCCCAACTGCTCCCCGGGCGCAGCAGCATAAATGGCTGCCCACTGCTCCGGGTGTGTGTTCACGGTGTGTGTGTGTGGGTGTGTGCACTTTGGATGGGATAAATGCAGAGCACTAATTCCTAGTATGGGTCACCATACTTGGCCACATGTCACTTCACTTCACTTAATTTCATGCACTGTAGGCAGTGTTTTTCTTTGTGGAAGGTTTTGGGGAGTGTTCGTTTAATTTTTCACACTCGAGTTGCCAATTTATTATTACTATTATTTTTTGTTTTGTTTCGTTTTGTAAATATTGTGTTTTCTGACGTGTGCGTAGTGTGTTTGAAGTTCAGAATATTTTCCGGGCCCAGTATTTCAATGGGTGATAATTGTAATTTGAAAAACATTTAAAAACGTTTTTTAAAAAACTTTTTTTTAACCATGGGGATTTTTCTATACCATTAATTTTCTTTTTTACTCCATAAGGATTGTTTATTAATATTGAATTTGATTGGCGCCGACAGCCTTGTGGGCAGTTTGCTGACATATATATAGCGCCATTGTGCTCCGGGCATCCCAATTTTGAGTCCAGGCTCGTGGACCTTTCCCGAACCCCCCCCCTCTCTCTCCCACCTCGCTTCCTGTCATTGCTATACTGTCCTATCAAAATAAAGGCAAAAATACCACAAATAAATCTTTAAAAAAAAATAATAATAATTTTGAATGTGTATTTAATTATTCACTTATTTATTCAAAAAATTCACCTGGTGTTCTGAATGTGTAAGGTATTAAAAGGTAAATGTACTTGGGCCTGGAAATAATTTTATTTTGTTGTTGTTTGTGACATGATAGACTAAATTACGACTGAATAGTTCTCTTAAATCTCATTCCTTGTCCTCTTGG